TGACTACAACACCACATTTCTAGTGTAGCATCTGAACCAGCCTCTGTGGGCAGAATATGCCAAAAATAGACATATATTATGGTAGTATACCACAGCATGAACCAGAGAGGTTGCACAAGCACTTCACAACAGGCGTTGGGAAGATGAGATTACAATGGCCAGTGCGGACTAATTCTCTTGCTCAGAAAAATGTGTCTTCATTCCCCTGGTAAGTCCACAATTCAAATGGCCAGGCGCATGCACTGCTCATAACTAATATTGATTGCTCCAAAGGAGGAAGCGCCATGCTGGAGCCATCATCGGCCGTGATCGGACCCCCTTGATGATTTACGTACTCAACTACCTCTGTCTTTTCTAACTGAATGACAACATAGCAGTTTTTCAAATCTCTGTGAACAACTCTCAGAGGCAAACACACCATGAGCAGTTGTAAGTGATTGATTAGCCATGCTTGTCTGGCACCCATCCTAGAGCCAAAAACTTGACAGCCGTTGAATTGAGCATGCAAGCCCAAGCTAGATGCATCTGTGATGACCTTCTGGAAACCTGCCACATCACAGCCTGTCTGATAAAAGCAGCAATGCAGCGCATGTCTGAACAGCTGGAGAGCTGACTGCATGTGCCCAACTGTTAAATATGTACACATTGTCACTCTTGCTCGACTCTTGCCTTTTGCAACAACCTCTATTACGCCTTTCACAAGAAGGTTGTGGGTTTCTGTATGTAACAGATGGGTCCTACAGGTGAACTGTGGAGGATCAACCACCACTGAAGTGAGGCGGCCACCTTGGAAATTGGTTTACATGGGAAGATTTCCCATGTGCTGACATGATTGGACTGTTAAGCACATTGGATGAACACACTTTATTGAACACAAAGCATTTAACTCATTCTCCCCTCTTCGGCAAGTTGTAATGGCAGAGAGGGAAGGCATTGCATTGAAAAAGCTCTAGACGTTTTATTTTGGGGCTGGTCCCAGTTCAATGGCTGTGAGTTGCTCGTCACAGTAGGGTGGCATCAGGAGTTCTTCTGCTGTTCTGCATGGCTGATGGATTGGACAGTAACCTATGTAGCATATAAAGCCAAGTCTGTCACACTATGCAGCTCTCTAAAGAGCTTGGTTTCTGCATCGTTTTTGTCCATGTGCTTAAGAAACTTTGGCTGAAACTTTTGGAGAACAAGTGTGAAATGACAAGCCAGCTTGGATGGAACAAGCTCGGACATTGCAAGAGAGATGGCCATATAACCTTCTCCTCATCCATCAAAAACCTTTTCATGCATTCCAGTTCAAGGTCGGAGATTGTCTCGAGTGTACTGCACAGGCGTTAACACTAGATCTGGAGAGTGGGGTGTATGTAGGACCTCTGCCAGCACAAGGTCCACACTGTAATCTTCACGTTCAGCTCCTTGGCTCAACTCACTCAGGTGAAGCAGGGAAGTGTGGGAAGCAGGGCTGTGCATCAGAATGAGGGCAGCATCTAAAAAATGAAGGCAATTGGTCTCAACCAGAGCCACTTAATGCAATAATTTTCTCCTATTAAATTCGGATAAGACAGAGATATTACTTATTGGACCAAAAGACAGTTTTAACAAACATATTTTAAAATGTCATAATTATAAAATAAAGGATAAAATGCAGTCTATGCAGCAACAAATCAAATAATTGGAACACTGCAAAGACTCTACGACATAAACACACATAGTGTTGGCCATCATATTTAGCCGCTCCAGACCACACATTGATCAGGGAATAAGTACTCACTGCCCTTTTGGAGTCTTTTTGATTGATTTGGCATCTTAAAAAAATATATATATATTTGCAGCGAGATTTCTGCGCTCAAAATATACTGCTCATCCCATTAAAAAACTGGCCAGGGTTTATTTTTAACGCCACTGAAATGGGATCAATACTGAAAATGCTTCTGAATGTCATGGAAGAGACTTGGCTTAGAGGCTGCTCACCAGCCAATGTTTCAGTAATCCATATGAAACAATAGCGGACCTGATTGTTAAATGCCATAGCTGTGCCTGTGAGGCTAGAATAACTCAGTACACTGTCTTCACACCTGTGTCACATGATTATAAAGCTCTCAGTCATCCTCTTGGACAGGAAATGTATTACTTAAAGGGAAATCAATACCTCGACAACACAGCAATGTCTGCTGTCTGTAAGTTTAAGTTTCTCCTATACTAAACATTTTTTTTTACAAGCTCAGTTCACTGCAGTACAAGGGACATGTATGTAAGTGTGTGTTTGAGTGTGTAACTTACATGAAATGGTCGAATATGCATGATATTTCTTCTTACATACAGTAGCTGAAATGTTTTTGGCAGCCCGGAGGGTTCTTGTGAGATTTGGCCCTAGTTTAAGTTATGTTCATGTTCTCCAAAGAATGTTAATTTTCCTTGGGTGACAGTAACCCATGCCTGTCGGTATAATTGAAATTATCTGAGAAAACCATGAACTTGGTGCACTTAGATGATATAGGTAAAAAAAAAAAAAAAAATAGATTTCCATTAAAGCAGGTACTCCAGCCACGCCTTGGGATGTCAGATACTAAAGGGTGGATGTTTTAGGCTTTATTTATCATATAGAATCCTTGTTCTCCACAAAGTTCAACATTACCATTCACATCTGGATTATATAGCATGGAATTCCTATTTATGCTATGTGTTATTAGTATACTACTGCTGTTTATGGTAAGAATAAACATTCTGATATTACTTTTCTGATGCAGTGTAAATAACTTCTGCTGTTATTTCATCACCAGTCCAGTGAAGTAATGCTATTGCTCTTTTACAGCAAGTTTGTGTAATTTCAAGCCTGTGTTTTGGTGAAGCGGAAAAGTAAATTATTTGCGAGGGTGCCTGTGTGACTACACAGCCTCGATGCTCCACACTTCAAGAGTGAGGACATGTTTATTCACAGAGCTTGAAGTTAATAGAGTTCAGGCAGAGCCTTCTGTATCATCTCTCACTAGGCTAGGACTTACAATTTGGTCACAATTGCAAACCTTTGAAAACACAGTGAAGAAGTGTCTGATGAAAGGAGGCAGACAGAAACAGGTGAGGAGAGAAAACAAGAGAAATGTGTTAAAGAATTGAGCGACGATCATCAAGTTGACAGCTGCGGGGAGAGTCACAGAGCAAGTGATATGTTCCCAGAATAATCAGTGAGATCAATGGTATCTCGTTTCCATCTGAGGGTATTCTAGATCAATACCTGAAAGGCAGAAAAAGCCCTACACCATATGGAGTTTAGCTACATTCGTGTTTCATAGATGTAATTTGTTATTTTCAGTGAATACTTCACCCAAAAATGAAAACATAAAACCAACATAAAGTAGCCCATAAGACTGCACTGTGCTACATTCCAAGTCTTCTGAAGTTATGAATAAATAAATAAATAAATAGAAATGTAAAAGGTTTTCAGTCAATAAAGACCTACATTTCAGTCTGTTCCTCACACACACAGCTATCATATGACATCTCTATACTTGAAATATACACTACTTTTACGGTCTTTTGTGTCAAGAAGCTTGTCAGTCCCTTGACAACATGAAGTGTCAGTTTATGGGGAAAAATGCCCTTTTTTTCTTCTTTTTTTTATGTCTTGTTTTTGTTTGTCTTGAAAAACAGCTATTGTGTTTGATGCGAGTGCGAGTAAATAAAGAGTTTTAATTTGTGAATTATTACTCTAATCCCCTCCAAATCGAACATGCTTGTATTTTTTTTTCACAGTCTCTGTAAAAATGAAAGGGCATATTAAGTCCTGTTTTTCAGTCAACTTGTCTTCTGAGAAATCAAATCCTGTCCAGAACATAATGCCTCTGATTGGGGTATATTTTTTTTCCTCATTTATTTGAACCTTCATTGAATTCCACAACATTCTGTGTAATGTAACAATATAGCTAAGTACAAATAAAATTAAATCAGTAGGAGAGAGTTCGATCCCAGAAATTACTCAAAATTGTCTTTAGAGTAGTATGATGCTCACCATAACGCCTACAAGCAGGGTTCTCAAATCTACTTGAGAAAATTATATTGAGCATTTTTTTAATGTAATACTATACAACTTATTTTATTTAAAATCCAATGTACTATCTATACCAATAAATTACTATCAATACAGTATCGAAACAGCCTGTGAATTATTACTCTAATCCCCTCCAAATCGAACATGCTTGTATTTTTTTTTCACAGTCTCTGTAAAAATGAAAGGGCATATTAAGTCCTGTTTTTCAGTCAACTTGTCTTCTGAGAAATCAAATCCTGTCCAGAACATAATGCCTCTGATTGGGGTATATTTTTTTTCCTCATTTATTTGAACCTTCATTGAATTCCACAACATTCTGTGTAATGTAACAATATAGCTAAGTACAAATAAAATTAAATCAGTAGGAGAGAGTTCGATCCCAGAAATTACTCAAAATTGTCTTTAGAGTAGTATGATGCTCACCATAACGCCTACAAGCAGGGTTCTCAAATCTACTTGAGAAAATTATATTGAGCATTTTTTTAATGTAATACTATGCAACTTATTTTATTTAAAATCCAATGTACTATCTATACCAATAAATTACTATCAATACAGTATCGAAACAGCCCGACTGAAAAGTTGTTCTAAATGTTCCAAAGAGCATCTTGTGCTTCAAAACTGTTATTGCTTAAAAAGAATAGTGCTAAAAAATATATATATATATTTTTTTATCCACAACTTTTTTTCCCCAAGATCCTAGAAAAGAAGTGTTTGTGATGCTTGCACAAAGAGCACATGATATTTTGTAAACGCACATCCATGCAATAAACACTCTCACGATTGTAATAACATAGAATCGGTATTAAATCACAACTGTAGCGGTATTAAATGTCATTTACAAAGCAAATCCTCTCCGAATGCAGAAACAAAACTAGTCATTCCGCTCACTACTTCCATTAACGGGATCTTGTGATCCCTTGCGCTGTAATGTAGAAGCAGTAACAGAGACCAGTTCACTCACCATATTGACGGTGCTTCTGTGCCACTGATCTCTAGAAAGTCATATCTATCTTCTAGCTGGAAGTCTGTGAAGACTAGGGCAATGGTGTCTCCCGGCTCGGCCAGAATACTCCACGTGCAGTCAGCATTGTTGTCATACTCTGAAGGAAAGTGGGGACTTGATATTGTCCCTGTTGTTCCTCTTAACGTCCCACCACATGATCCTTCAGCTGGACAAAATAGCACAAAAGTTAGAAATTATCAGGCAAAGGTAAAATTAGTCAAATTGCACCATATAGAAATCAACATTAATTTTCAGCGCTCCTATGCCATGACTTGTGTAGTCCTTCATAAATAATCGATTAAAAATCCGGTACTTGAATATAAGGACTGCCTCCCGATGCAGCGTTTTAGACACAGGATCAGTACTGCTGTTCTCTAAAAGTGGGGTATACTGGCTACCATCCAAGTAGAAGAAGATGCAAAAGATAGTTGTTTATTTTCTTTATATATTTGTACTATTGTATTTATTTTTTTCTATCACTTGTAATTTGTTTAAAGACTGCTTGTCTTTAATAATGTATAATGTAAATAACTTTATGGCTGGTAGCTTTTTTTTGCTGCAGTTTCAAAACTGGAATCAAGAATGGTGAAATTACGGCAGCATCTAACATTTTGGTATTGTAATTCTGTGGTTCTGATTTGCTGTGGGCATGAAGCATCAGGTATTCACAAGCATGATTTATAGCCTTAATGCAGTCCTGCTTTTATACAGCAGTTCAAAGGATAAGTACGTAAAAATACGTAAAGCCAATGAGTGTCACAAATACCCTCTTATGTGTGTAACTACTTTCCTACGCCAAGTATCCAGGATCTGACATTGCTAATTCAAAAAGATGTGCCTTCGTTACTAATTTGAAAATATCATGTTAGAACTAGCCATGGCGGCTTGGGCAGTTTTGGAGAAGTTATTGAAGTGACAAGATTGAAGCACAATTGTGTGACACTGTTGCCTTACAGTAGCTTAAAACAAACAAAAGGTTGAGTAACTTAAATTTTTAGATCCCATATTGCCAGATCATTTTCTGTTTTGTTCCGACTGACTTATGATTCGATCACTGTATCTGAAATTGGCCCCATACCCTTAAATAGTGCATTATTTATAGGGCCAGAAGATGCCACCCGCAGACTTTGCAGTGCTCTCAGTGTCCTAACTGGCTCACTCGTTCTCATTCACTATTTTATAACTGGACTAAAGTAGGGGATAATAAATAAGATTATAGGTGGTGGGGTCATTGTTGGATACAGCTTTAGTATTTTGTTTGTTTGTTTGTTTGGCTGTTCACATTATTATTATCATTATCATTATTTAATTTAATTTAATTTTTTAAAATATGGCCGATATCAGATTCAAGTTTGAACTGATCACAGTCCTGAACTGAACCGAATGCCCAAAAGACATACAGAATTAAACACTGAGGCCACTGAAATCAGTGTTCACGCATGTGTCACGGACCGTTAATTCATGCGCATGCGATAAGGAGGACGAGGCGAGGATGATGAGAAAGAGAGAAAAGCTTTTCTAGTGTCCCCTCAAGTTTTGCTTGTCTAAAGCTGTCACCATAATTCTTACACCTCACTCTCTTCCTCCACTCACTACAGATGTCTTTCATATTGACAGAGTGATCAAAGAACTAACGGTATGTAAAATCTGGAGTGAGTCCCATCATTGCAGAATTGCAGAATGACTGTTCAGATTGAGTTTGCATTGCAAAACATACAACTTGTAACTGATTTAGTACCACATATGGAAGTGTCCCAAATCAGAATCACAAAATCAGTATGTGAAACAGTATGCACTATTCCACAGTAAACATTTTAAACAGCAGTATGCTACGTTGTTGTCATATTTGCTTCTGAGGTTTTAAAGTGTATTTATTTTACTTCTTTTTTTTTAAGACACTGGGAAAGGCTCCACTACCCTGTAACCCTAGAATACGTGATTTGGAAAATGGATGGTTGATTCTTTAAGTTGTGTACCAATGTCAAAAATAAAAGATTTAAAATAATAAAATCATGGTTAATATTACTTCAGGTTCATTTGTTAAATTGGAAATGGAAGGCCAGTTTGAGCACAATGCATTGGAGCATACAGTACACTCTCAGAAAAAAAAAAAGTATAGAAGTTGTCACTGGAGTGGTACCTTATGCAACTTACCCATAAAGGTTGCATATTGGTACATTAAAGGTACATACTAGTACCTAAATGGTAGATATTTGTACTGTTTGAAAATGTACCGCCCCAGTGACAACTTGAGTTAAAGATACATATTTCAAAGCACATATTAGTACCTAAAGAGTACATATTAGCGCCTTTTAAAGGGGTAAAGCGACAGTTCTGTACCTTTTTCTGAGAGTGCTGAGACCATACAGTAGTCATGTGACTGTGGAAACCCTACTATTTAACCCATCTGTCCATGTAAGCATAAAGCATCTTACCTCTACAAAATGGTGCTGGGAAATCCCATGATGCACCACTTCCTGGGCTCACTATGCACGTGAGCAATGCATGCCCCTCCAAAACGTATCCCATCACACAACTATAGCGGATCTTGTCTCCGACGTTGTACCTGGTCCCATGGATAATCCCTCTCGGTATCAACCCTGGATTTCCACAGGTGTGACTTGGCAGAACTGGAACAGAAGACAGGAAAACAGGTCAGAAGTAAGTTTCTGTGTCACGCTGTGCCTTTCACTCTATTCTGTTTGTTCTTTTCATCATCATACACAGACTGAGCCAAGCTCTTGAGATGCCTGTCTCAGTGCGAGTCTTCGCTATGAAGCATGCACATCTGAAGCTGGCCCAGCAGCACTAGTGCATGGGACTACGGTGAAACCCCCACACGTAAGTTGTGCGTTTCTGTGATCATGATGCTGTTTGAAGGTAAGTATTTCACGTTGACAATACAATCACAACATGAATGTGCTCTGTTCATCTGTGTCAACTGTTCAAACAGAATCTATGCAAAACATTTTAAGAGTGAAAAAATAGTAATAATTTAGCGAGTAATCCGAAGCAAGACTTTTTTCAACTTTGTTTTCAGAAACATCCAATTCTGTAGTAAAATAAAAGTTATAAGGAAGATGGCTTCAAATCAGATTGAAATTAATATTGAGTCCATTTCCTTTTTTCTCACTTTGTTGTAACTTGAGTTGATAAAATAATAATGATAATATGAATAATAATAATGATGATAATACTAATCTTCCCAATAACTTTTAATTTTTTCATTTTGGCCAAATCAATTTTGATGAAACTATATATATATATATATATATATATATATATATATATATATATATATATATA